GGCGCGTCTGCTGCTGTCTCCTAATCGGATTGCCTGTTTAAAGTGTTTGGTGCTGAGTTATCTGCGGGGTATTGGCTTGTTATGACGCGTGGCAGTGAAAGCCGCAAGGAAGCTGTCTCGCCGATGCCGCCTTATCTTTGCACGATAGCCAGCTGTTTGTGACGGTATGTTGTCTACACAAGGTGTAGGCGCCTTGACTCTGAATGTTTTTGCTTAGGGCATTAAGGTTTTCGGGTAAGTGCCCCTTCTCTCCCTCTTTTTATTCTTTATTTCATAGGTCCTCATGGTTGTATGGCAGAGACATCAGTTCAAATGACTGATGTACTGCTGTTGATGATGATGTGAAATGAACGCCCGGGTCGATCAAGAGCAAGCGCGGAAACGTCGTGTGTGACGTGATGGTGGGCGCACAGATCTGGGCACGGCATGCAAACCAGTTACGGCCAACATTGTGCCAACCAGAACAAGCAAGGTCTACCGACCTCCCGTTCGATTTATTGGTGGAAAGCTTCAACTTGCTGAAGGTAGTAGTGGACGACTGCACACAGTCGAGCAAAGAATCCAGAGCACGGACATCGGAACCTAGTTCTCGGGCGCTTCTGCTAAGGAGATGGGCCGATAGGCAGAGAACACCGTCCCGAAGACTGCAAGTTAATCCTAGGCTTTCGTCGTATACCTCGGACGATATCTCGGAGGGGGTGTCCGGGAGAAATTAAGAATTACCTAGGAAATCCACTATTTTAACGCTTAATCGACTATTAACGATTATCGCATCGATTTCGGACGTTCCTGAATGTTCTAGTTTCTTCCCGTGACTAATAACCACCTGACACCGGCAAAAGATATGGGGAACCACTAACCTTGGTAGTTGACCTTCCAATTCTAGAAGTCGAAGGTCAGTAAGAGACCTATAAATACAGCCAAGGTCTGCAATAGTTGTACAGTGTTTGTTGACGTCGATTACTACATTATTTTGACGTTCTGCTTTTTCCTTCGGTTGGGCTAGAAGTTTTGTGGAGCAGTAAAGTGTCTATTTCGGAATCGCGTCTAGTGAGATTATAACACCCTCTCGACCCTATCAACAATACTTCCTCTTCTTCTCGTTCTTCTCAACTCTCTTCTTCCCTATCTACTGATCAGGAGACTGCCACTGACTTCGCAGCTGCTGCAATCGGTACACGTAGCTCTTCCATTAAACGTAGTTTCATTTCACATTGATTCTTAACGTTAGGACTCTAGGTCAGATCGGTCAACAAGCAGCACTGACTCGCACTCTTCACTCTCGTGGTATTGATGTGTGCTGTATCTTCGAAACATGCACACAAGATATCAGCATTGTGACGAATCTTCGACTCCCTGGTTCTTATTCTGACGATAATGGTTACACTCTTTGAGTTTCTGGCGACACTGATTTAATGGCTCAAGGTATTTACGTTGTCGAAATTGCCCTCAGCAAACATGCTGAAAGCAATATACTCGATTGGATGCCGTGAACAGTATGTGCCCTTCGACTTCAAGCCTTTCTTGGAGTTAATAAGCAGCGTCTGATGACAAGGTGGCTTTTCATCGCCTAGGGTTATGCCCCTACTGATGCAGTCCAGAGGGTATCAATGACTTCTATCGAAAAATATCGTTTCTTCTTCGCATGGCGAAGAATTCTCATTTGGGGATTGTTGTTGGTGACTTGAATCCCCAAGTGGGTCGTCTTTCAAACTCCGAACAACACCCGGGAGGCCGCTTCGGGGTTCATACATGCCCAACAGACAATGGTGGTTGATTATGGCAACTGTGTGCCGACCACGACATATATCAGCGCTGCTTTCCAGCACAAACGTTCACACCATGCCACGTGACGCCCAGCGGATGCTTCTATGATCTGGACCCAAATAGACCGATGGTCTTAAGGATTACAAGCCTGCCTTGCAATCCGAGGATGCGGGTTCGAGCGTGTGTGGGGGACCGAGCAGTATTCTTAGCCCACGCGCGACTGTTAGTGTTTGAGCGGCAGTAAAGCGTCGATACTGCGTACTGGCGCTCTGCTGATGATTTTTTCACATATTGCCATCAGTTACAAATAGCGCACATCAGTCTAAGACTATCGGCTATTTTGAGCACTTGCTTGGATTCCGACCATGTTCCAGTGTTCGCATGCTTAACGCTCACTCCTCCCAATTCAAGAAAACACTTAACTTCTAACCTACTGACATAATCTGAACACTCAGTCCGCCGTTCAGCAATACCATAACGAAGTTTCCCACCGGTTGTCAAGGTCGAATCAGGTTGGTTAACCGAACGCTGACTGGTATCGTCCCGTGTGCTTGAAGAACGCCTTTGCCGCTTGCTGTGCACCCAGCTTGAGACCCCGTAGCTGTGAATGGATCTCTGAAGCATCGATCAGTTTGATCAAAGCGCATAAACCTGTTCCGATGGGCACTGAATTTCAGCGTATCTGTAACTCCCTGAAATGGGGTCTGACAAGGAGTCTTCGAATCGACCGGGAATCTTGGTGTGTTCCAAGGACCCGTGAGATGGAGAATGGTAGTGCTATTGGGAACAGCGGAGTGCTATTCTAGCTCATCCAATGTACGGGTTAGTGAAAGCGAAAATTTAGCGAAACAACACTCGAGAAAGATGGGCGCTTGATCCATTCTCAGCCTCGTCAGTCAGCCCGTTGGGCGGAACGTTTTGTGGAGCAATTCAGCAGACTTGCTGCGACACTGCCGCTTGCTGAATCACCTGAGTCGACGTAGGAAGTAGATGTCACACTTCCCACTTTGGAAGAGATTTGACATGAGCTTTCAGTGTTGGAACGAAACACGGCCCCTGGACCCGAAGACCTTCCTTCCTGGATGCTTATTGACTGCATTTGCTTCTCTGTTTAACACGATTAGGAGCACGTAAGAAGTGCCTTCAGATTGGAGACTGACAATTGTCGTGCTCGGCTTCATGAACGGCCAGTGTACTTTTTCCGACATTCATCGTGACATTAGCCCTGTTTCCGTTGCCTCAAGACTTCTGACGGGTATCATCTTTCGACGACTTACCGGTTCTCGTGAGAAGCAGTTCACTGAAAGCTAGACTGTCTTCCGTCCTGTCATTGGTTGCATTGCCCACATATCTACTCTTCGCCAAATGTGAGAGCGGAGATCGACTATGGTATGCTGCCTTCGACTCTCTTGACCGTGCCAGCTTGTGGCACTGCCTATCAATGAACGGCGTGCCGGCTAAACTTCTTTTCATTTTGCTTTTGCTACCGCGACTCCCGACGTCATGTAAGGGTCTAGGGAAAACTCCCCTGAGTTCTCCACGACACTTGGGGTTCACCAGGGTTGTTTATATCTCCTTTCTTTTTCAATTTTGTGCGTGAAATGATCACAAGTGACTCGATTTTTTCGGACTACTAGCGTGGAAATTCTTCCAGGTAACCGACTGACAGATCTTGAGTATGCAGGTGAGATAACTCTCCTTGTGCCTTACGCAGTGGTTATGCAAACACTACTGGATAAACTGATGCGTTGCGCTTCACGCTTCGACATGTGCTTTGCACCTTCAAAGCGCAAAGTTTTTTTGCAGGACTGAACCGTCACACCTCGAGTTCTATATATTATCGGACTGCATATATATCGCACTGCAAGTGGTGAATCGGTTCTCTTACCGTGGAACCTGTCACCTTTGGTGGTCACATCAGCCGGTGGCCGAGTGGTCTGCACGTTTGCTTTGCAACCATAAGGTCACCGGTTCGAATCCGCGTAGGCGTGGGCGTCCTCGCGGTATACTCAGCCCGCGCGCGACTGGTGGTGGTCGCGCGGCAGCGAAGCGCCATTACGGCGTACAGCTGAAACGTTGCGTTACGTTACGGTCACATCACTGAGGTAGTTACTTCGCCTATCAGCAAAGCCAGTGTGGCTTTCCAGAGGTTCAACCATCTGTGTAGACGGTGGGATATCAGCATCTCAATGAAAAGAATGGTGTATAACGCTGCGGTAAGAGCAGTCTTATTGTACGGATCCGAGACCTGACCAGTTCGTAGCGAAGACATTAAACGCTTGGCAGTGTTTGACCACCGGTCTTTGCCGAGTATGACTCACTTTTGGTAGGCACACCGGGTGAGCAACCTTGAGGTCCGCCAGTTACTTTTTGACAGGAGGCCTTCTGGTGCCTCACTCGAGTGTTTACTGAATCGCAGTCGCTTACGTTGACTAGGCCATGTTCTCCATATGCCCGTTGACTGGTTTCTTCGGCTTGCATTATCTATAGTGGCTGCACGAACTTGGACGAAATCAAGAGGTGACCAATCGATGACGTGACATAGAGGTTTGGAGAAATTGTTTAAGTCTTGTTCAGGCTGGTGCATGCCGTCTTCGTGAATGCGGGCCTCGGGATGGTCCACACCAGTAGTTGAAACTGTATCAGATATGGCACAGCCACGCAGTCAGTGGCGTTCCTGCATTCGGTTCCCCGCACCTGATTGTTAATTATCGTTCCATTCTGATTAGTCTAACGCACTTCCTTCTTGTTTCTATTTTATTAACATTCTATTTGCAAGGTAGTGGGGTTTAACCCCACTTGCATACTGCTGATGCTTTTACGAAAGAGACACCAACTGTAACCTCACGGCACGGTCATCATCACGCGCAGGGGACTGTTACTCTCTCTCTCTCTCTCTCCCTATTTTGTGCTTGCACGGGTTCAGACGATGCTCAAGTCCCATTCTGCATATTAAACCGGGGACGTTTGAGCATTCAGCTTGGTGTACACACATACCTCGACTCGTATCATAGCCATTTGTGGGTTCTGTTAAGGTTTTTGACGTACTCTGTGTTCGCCCTTATGGTGTTGATCCTGCTACTGATGACACTTGTTCTCATTATTACAATTACTAATCTTGATTTTATTGTCATTTTTATTCCTCTAATTTTGGAACCTAATCCTTCTTCATCATCGGATATTTTTGAGCCAAACATCCTTCCGTGTTCCTACAATTTTCAGTCCTGATCTTTGTTCTCTTTTCAGAAAGACTCGAATTTATCCCACTGATGGACCATTTCGAAAGTCTTTGTCTCATGGACTTTGAGCCTACTGGACATTCCAAACGTCCAGTTTGTAAAGATTGTCTGTAAGTCCTTCAGCCAGTTTCCGGATTTTTCCTGTAATTACCTCTTTTTGAACGTTGTGGGCTCATCGTGGCACCGGTCTTCTCTTCCTAGACTGTGAGAGCATTCTTTTGCTTCTAGCGTTGTCGTTTCCCGCGCGCCTTATTGCACAGTGAATTCTCAGTGCTCGCGAGTTTACTAGGTATACTTCAAAGCATTTCGGTTCAGTGGATCAACTGAAAGCCTTTCTCTAGGAGGGGATGTATTCAGTACTTTGTTTCGAATCATCATCAAAACCATCCCTGCATTATGATGTAACTGTTATGGACAAGGAATAAGCGAACAGTGTGTGTAGGAGCTTGAGCATACTTTACCCTCGTCAACCAGAATTTTTTGGTCTCGGAATTTGAATTCGAAAACGACACGAACTGTATGACTCTGCTGTGCTATATTAGTTTATACCTATTTTGTGATGGTCGATCACGGGACTACCATCCGGGAAGACGGTATACACGAAGCAGACTAAGTCTTTCTGTCCGATTCCTGATATATTTTCCCCTTCATATCACCCTATGGGCTCATGTAAAACATGCACTATTACTAGATGAGTACCAAACACTCCGACGATAACTGGAAGAAGGCCGCAAGCGGAGATTTCCACATGTTGTGGTTAATACAACGTACTTTCGGAGTTTTGACGGGCGGTATGTTTACGAGATTGTTCTCGGCTTTCGTTCGGCCTCATATGGAATACTGCGTCCAGACTTGTCCGCCCTGCCTCGTCCGGGACAAAATGGAGCTAGAGTGGGTTTTACGGGTGGCTACTAGGTTAGTTAAGGGATTACGGGGACCGACATACCCCGAGCGTCTACTTAGTTTGGGAATGTATTCAATGCACTACCGAAGGCTTATAGGAGACCTAATCCTGACCTACCGTATCTTAACTGGGAAGGTTGGTCCAGATTTATCTGAGCTATTCAGTCCCGCTAGATTGTCTGTTCTGCGCGATCATTCCTTGAAGCTGGACAAACCGCGGCCCGATCGGATTAGGGCGGAAATCCGGCTGTCACGCAGAGTCATCGAGCGCTGGAACATGTTTCCGGAAAGTGTTATCAGGGAATCTACGGTTAAGAGGTTTGAGCGGCAACGTGACGCTCTTCGGTGACAACACGAAACCTTTCCCTTTCCTGACTAACTCGCATCTTCACACTGCGATTTTCTTTTCTCTACTTTTCTTCACGCATTGGTATTATTTTCGTATTTCAAGCGCAGTTCCTTATACTGCGCCTTCGATTTCTCTTCCTATCCTTCGTTTACTTCACGTGGCTGCCACAACAGGGACGTAGGGCAAATGTGGGCATTAACTGGTTGGCCAGGGTGCGATACGTGTGTTCCGTTTTAGTTCCATCAATAACTGTGCACTTCATCAATTGCTGGTTCAGCGATCCACTCAAAATGGAACACTCACGGGATTCTCCTGTCTTTCCAGTCCCACCCGAACATGAACTTGAACTTACCGACTGATCGGCTTTTGATGGACAGTTGCGGTGGACACTTCCGCCTTACAGCACACTTTCAAACTTGCAGCACATAAGTGAATATTTACAAAACAGTTTTTGTCAGTGCGAATCTCTAATTAGGTGATGATGGGGGGCGTTCACCGCAGGCAGTTGTACAGTGCGTTGTGCTGACGAACATGATTAGCTTCGTTCGTGGACGAACAATAAACATCGAACTTTGAACATTTGTGGTCTGGAGTATTTTTTAAACTACAAATGATCCGCTTACACTCGCCTCTTATCGCGTCGTTCGTGCTTGTGTGCGCCACCTGCTGTCCCCTCCAACATAGAAAAGTGGTATGCGAGTACAAAGAAGTAATAAGAAACCTTGACGGATATAAGTAGACCTTAATTACATCTAGACTCAATCAGACGGCCATCATAGCCCGAAAACAACACTGTACGGCCGTTTCATCCTTTCGGGTGTCGTCAGCAGTGCGCGCTTCATTTGGGCCCTGTGGGTTTCGAACCCGCTTTTAAGACGCTGGCTAATGTGTGACATGATGGGCGCTTGTTTGTTAGACGTAGGAACTTTTCTCTTTGGCTGCCTTGCATGACTGCTCTCTCCTCGACTTATTTGTTCTTGGTACTTTAAGGCCCGCACTACTGATCAGGGCACTTGGTGTCTTGGCATCAGTTTGTCGCTTATTTTTCCGTTGGTAGCTATCGGCTGCACGTTATGGAATGCTTGTATTTTCGTTGAAAAGGTATGTTACGAACCTATGTAGTTGCTTTTGATGAGTAGAGACACTATTGAACACCGCGCTCCCGCATTCATTTTGTTGCATTTAGCTGTCAGTTTTCCATCCTGATTAATTTTACGCACACCTTCAACCCCATTTTCTTTATATTTTGCTTGCGTTATCGTCGCCACTTCTTGTCATCCTGGCGACGCGAGTCATGCCAACTGGATCATGCTTGTGAACTGTACTCGGTCCTGAGTGTCGGGCTCACGAATAAAGACTCCCGATTTCCCCTGAACGCTATCTGTCTTCCTCTGTTATATTTACCCGCGTCTTCACTGCATCGGCATCTTTTAGCGACCGGGACGCTGTCCGTATCATCCCTTTTACCATTATTTTGTTCTCGTCTGATGTACGCATACTGTCCCCCGATCCATGCACAGATACTGCAGCTTCTGCGGATAGGCTTGTCTATTTGACTGAAAACAGCTACAATAACTCTGCACCTTCTGAGTAGTCATGGGCTGCCCGCACTGCACTACTTTTGCAATCCCATCCACACGCCTACTTTTGCCTTAAACGTGGAACCAATGGGTCCGCTATGCACACTGATGGAAAAAAGAAGAAATAATAGGTATCACCAGTACGCCGTTACTCTCAGTACCGATGCTTCGCTGTCAGATGCTAACCTCCACCAGTTCCACGTGGGCTACAGATTACGAGTCGCGCGGTCCACCACACAGGCTGGAGCCCGCACCCTCGGGTTACACTTCAGGCTAGTGCTCCTGTTTCAGAGCCAACCCACTTTTTAGTGACACGCGTTGCTCTGTAATTAGTCGAGTGGTTTATGCGTTGGACTCGTAATCCACGAGTCACCAGCTCGAACCCATGTATTCGCGAAACGTACTACCAAATGTACTGGTATTCTAGCTCCCACGCTGTAATAATAATAATAATAATAATAGCTCTATTTCTCTTTAAGTGAGAAGCTGCATCCATATGTGGCACAGATCAATTATGTACAGGTAGAGTACCATGATCTTGCATGAGCAGTATGAAATTGTGGCGCGATGTTACGATACTTGATGTACGGCGGAATCGCAAAGAGCGGATGTTTTATTTTTCGAATTTTTCAAAGCAGTTCTCCAACAATTTGTTGGCGGACATGGCTAATTGATCGGTTAAATCTTTCTAGAAGTCCGAAAGGTTGTCAAAAATAATAAGCGTAGATAAGTCCAAATGTATCTGTGAAGCAATACGCCCGTTTATGGAACCGTCTCCTGGGGACCTGGTTCCATGCGGGTTATTCCCTCGATGGGTTTCATTTCCATGCTCCATCTGGTCGTATTCTGGTGTGGCTTTTAAAGCTGGTAAGCCATCACCTCTGTGACTCATCTTCAGGGCTGTTTTTATGTGTGTATAGTGTGACGGTTGATCGGCGTGCATGGTGCGATCTAATCACGAAGGCATTTGCCGAAGTGCGGGAGAAAGTCCTCATGCCTGCAGAGAAGAAGCGGCAATTGCCGAAGCGACAGGCGCCGATGGGTTGTACTTCATCGACATCGAGCGCATGGTGCTGTAGCGCGTGTGGTCGCGAGTGCCTGAGTCAGGCAAGCCTAGTGAGCAATGAGGGAGGCCACTCGAGGCTACCACTGAAGCGTCGACGGGTCCTGTAGAGAAACTAGGCAGAACCGGCGCAGCGTTTGTGGATACACCGAATTCAATTTACTAACCGCGTGCTTGCGTGCTGAGTCTCTTTGTCTCAGGTGTTGGGTTTGCAATTTTGTCCTAATGTCTACCTGAACTCTTCTCTATAAACTTGCACACGTCGCTAAAGCTAATTGTAGTTAACTTCGATAACATTTTCGCTGTTGTGGCATTTTCTTAAAATATATTTTCTGACCAATTCCTTTTCATAAGCTCATTTAGTGAAGAGTTATGTCACCGTATCTGTATGCACTATTCGATTTGTTTTATTTGATATCGTCGTTTCAAGTGATTGGCTGTTGCTTGATATCCCCGATGTGGCTGCGCTTAATGTGCATGTTGACAATGTGCCTACCTGTCTATTACCCACTACTTCATCCATACTGGCTCCAGGAGGTAGTTGGTCGTTGCTGGAGGGGACGGGGTGTGCACGGTCTTCGTGGCCGTACTAGGCTCGAAGAGTGATTCCATGCACTCAGTGTAAAGCGGACTACGGCCCAGCCACCGCCTTGTATGCGATTGATTCTTCAAATACAGCGTGGTTGTGTTTGTCTGTGAATGAATGTGGGCCGGCTCCATTTATGAAACATGGCTCCCATCCACATGCCTCCCGGTCTTATTCCTTCGGGTTTACACTGGATATGGGGTGTGTGGTTGGAGCTGTGGATGGTGCGGCGCAAGCCACCCATGGTCCCTCTGTAGGTGCAGGCGTCCTGTGGTTTCACCCGTGTAGGCCACAGTGACAACTAAATACGGATACTGATGCCGCCAATTCTCAGTATAGTAATGCGTGTCTATTTTCAGAGATCCCGCGATCAGTCGTACTTCAAGGAACCAGATTTCCTATCGCGTGCTAACCAAACTGCGGAGAATCACTGAGTTCATTGGGTTATAGGGGCAAATGCAGATGCCATGTCGGCCCCACCACCTGCAGTTCAGAACAGGAGCATGTGCGATTGCGAACAGCAGTTTTAGTGGGCTGGAGCAGTCGCAGTAGAACATTGCAATCCTGCTATCTTAAACACGTGGGAGCCGCTTGAAACCTTCCTCCGTCTGAACACTGGTAACGTTCTT